TCCAAGTCAGAATAACCCACTTCAAATCAGTTGTGGCAACTGGGTCTCTGTAATGTCAACTTGACCATCAAGTCTACTATGGATCCAAACACTACTACTTTTCTTTATCTATCATTAAGTAGTAAATACTCAAAACATCACCAAATCAGTAGAAGCCAATATATCAAAGCCTCAATAAAATAAACTCCACATCAAGCAAAGTGACACAGTTTCTATTAGCTTTTGCAGTCAATATAAGCGGTTGAATTCACTCTTCGTAATACCAAAAGCACCTTCCACAACTTGCTACACATGCTGATGACCATCAGGTTCACTCTCGCCCTGATCTGAGAGAGAAAATTATGTTCTGAGGGGTCTTGTTCTGGCAGGAAGCTGAGGTTTTGCAGGGACGTTAGAACAGATTTGCTATGGGCATACATAAGAAAAACAAAACAAAACACCAACCCAACAACTCCAATCTAAAATAAAAAAATTTAGGCGATATTAAGGCTGTACATTTAATAGGAGAAGAAAAATGAAAACACTTTGAAAGCACTCTTAACTTGGTTGCTTCATACATTCAATGCTGGTTTTGGCTCAAATTATAAATACTGCATTAATAAAAATGCATAAATTTGTAGCTTAGCATTAAGCATTTAAGCCTTTGAAATACAAATCTTCCAAAGGATAATTTTCAATTCTTCACGATAGGACATGCAATCAAAATTAACTCCATGTATTTACACCCATCATTTTAAAGAATGGTTTAATGCTAGCACACTGAATTAAAGCCTTTCAATAAATACAGGAAGAAGTAACAAGAGTTTCGCAGATGGGTTTTATGGCTTCTTTTTAGGCTCAAAAGTTATGATTACAGCCAATTTTTGAAACAAAGTACCACATGTAGCTGGTGGAAAAAGCAGAGATAATTTAAGTAGTTGTCAATATGTTCATCTCTGAGTATTGCCAAATTTTCAAAAACCTAGTTCTTCCAAATTATACTATTCATACTTGCATGCTACATGCATGCATTGAAATACAGTTTGACCAATGTTTCAAACCACAGACTGCAAGATATCTTAAACATCATGTACAACTTGGTCAGCATTTTTCTACACCTTTCTCTTGGTGACAACTTTGAAAAAAGATTCAGATCCCAGATTCTGGTCTCAAACATATAACACCCTGTTTTAAAAGTCTCTCAAATTCAAAGGTCCTATATGTTTAATCAAATATTCAGAACAGGTATGAGGTCAAAAAAACCCAAAACTCTATTCCATAAACTTTTTTGAAAGAAAAACTCTTTTAAACAGAAACATAACTAAAGCAAAATGGATGACATCAGAGTTTACTTTTTTGTACCAGTTTTTCAACTTCGGTACTAGTATTCCTGTATGCAAGTATAACGCAATTTATATGTTGAATGCAGAAGTTCATACAACTCATTCATTTTGTAGCCAAATCAGTGTTAATTAAACAGGCTAATGTGTGAAATACTAGATAAAAGTTGTACCTTACAAAACCAAAGCAGACATTTTAACTTATAGTTTTAATATAGCAATCAAAGAAAATTCCAAATACTGTACAGTGAAGTGTAGTATAATACACTATATACTGTTATAATACACTATTGTTACATTACAGATAAAAAAAATCAAATATAATTAGTACAGCAATCACAAATAAAACAAACCAAACTGTGCTGGGTAACAGCCAGTACTGTGAAGATGGTATCGTTTCTATGCTAATTTATTTTTAATTCAACATGTAAAGCACTTACTGTTTAAAAAGATTTGTTTTCTAAATATATACACTATTTTAATTCTTATTTATACATCTTAAATAGCATTCCCTCCTAAAAGTGCACTCTTTCATTTCTTGGCAATGATCCTCATTAAACATAAAATAATTCTGAAAATACCACTCTTGTTTCAACCTTTTATTGCTCAACCGCAGGCATAAGGGCTCAGAGGGAATCCTGCATTCTAAAGATCTTAAGCAATTTCTTCAGTTTTAAGAAGCTAAACTGATATCCACAAGCAAAACAAAGAAACCGCTTACTGTTGTGTTTAACAGAAGGATCAATTTCATACTATTATTATTTTACAAAAGCATGTAGATTCTGCTATTTGAAAATGGGAGCCAAACAAATGTAGAGATAACAGTGGCATCTTCTTAAATCATTCATTTTTCACACATTTCTGATTGAGCATTGCTCTCCCAATTGTGAGCATATTATGAATTTTATTGCCTGGCATTTTCAGCACAGTGAAAAAGTAGCAAGTAACTCTGCTAACCTTGTGACAGTAACAATAGATTCTACTTTTTGAAAGACTAAATTAAGCCTTTTGGTCTTGAAAGCATGCCTGTTGTACAAGGTTGTTAGCATACAGCCTTGTGGCACTGTGCCGCTGCTAGAGCAACGTCTAGCTCACACTTTGTGTCTATCAGAAGACTAGTAAACTATGGGAGGTTCACAAAACCAACAATATACATTGCTGTTTTGTGACTATAACAGTGAAGACGTCCCAAATATATTTATATGATTTCCTTCGAAAAGCTGCTCTTTATTTTCCCTCACTGAAATGCAAACAATTCACAGAGAATCAGCAGTTTCAAAAAAGTCAACTTTACAAAGCAGCCAGCCATTTGAAGTAGTAAAAATCTTGCATTTGCCTGGAAAATTGATCTGTTCTCCTGAGGTTTCCTATACGCTCATCAGTAATCTAGTTCATTCTCCTATTTTTTATTTGGTACTGGGCCTGTATTTTCAGTAATCATCTTTCATGCAGGTTGTGCATACTAAGCCATAGTAAAGTTTAGGATTTTCAAATAATTTAAGCGTTCTTTGCCATGAGACACTGTGTGGAAGGTCACTGGCCCCTACACAAGAAAGTAATCAAGGCAGGTACTCAAAAAGAATTTAGAACCACAGCCTCCCTCCACAGGCAACTCAGTAGCAAGAAGCTGGGTTTTTTTCTGAGAAAGGGACATGCTTCATGCCATTTGAGAAGTCCTATTGACACAGCTTCACATCCACAATGAGTCGATGTCTTCCCTGCCCTTGTATCCCACCACCATTTTCCCTGACTCTAACAGGGAAATCTAACAAGCACATGGGTGCTCTTAAGACAGGCCCACAGATTTGCCTCAGCTTACATTTCCACCCACTGCTATCAATCAAATGAAACATCTGTTCAAACTTACACTTCAGTGCTCTTTATTTCACTTCTCCTGTATAGTTACACATCTCACTGGCATGTAGATGAAGTTTAGCTTCACTTGAGAGTATCAAAAGCCCTCTTTCTCAAAACCACTGATATTTAAATGCACGAGAAAGCTATGTGAAATAAGAACACTGCAAAGAAATATGCACAATCCTGCTTTACACCAGAGGAATTCCCATCAGCAGATCTTGTGATTTTTGACACCACTTTACCATTCCTTTTTGAGACAATTTTGTTTTAGGAACGGGAGAGTTCTGATCTACGTGACTTGAGCGAACTCGAGACGACACTAGGGGTGTGTCAAACAGAGCTTATTATCCGTGTCGATTTCTATTTAGATAACAAGGAAAATGTCAAATTACTGCTGAAATGGGAAGTGCGTCAAAATTAAACTAAGCCTTCCTCTTTACACAGTAAAAGGCACCCAAACTTCTGTAGTCTTACCAGAAAGGCATGAAAGAAATAAGCATCTTCCCTTGAAATAAGGATGATGTGCAATAAATATTTCAATTCATTTCAAACTTAAAATTCTCTCATATGCACTGCCCATATGGTTTTTTTTCAGCCGAGGAAGACTTCTTTTTCTAAAGAAAACGTTAGAAATGTCTAAGTGATCGTTACCTTGTCTAAAACGCAAAAGATCCAGGAGATTCCTCCCTCTTAGCCTCTCTTGATTTAAACTCCTTCCCAGAAACATGCCGCTGCTATACATTTCTAAACCTCACACTGTGACAAAGCACAAGCCTCGACTCAACATTTTCTATACAGAAGTAGCCTTCAGACAGCTAGACTGATTCATGGGAGACTAAATGTTTTCAGATGTCATGGCAGGCTTCCAGGTGCTGCATGTGCATCCTGTTCCTCACTGAAGAAGCCCTGCCAATTAATCAGTGCATCAGCAAGGTCAGTTCTGGTGAGCCAAATTATTTCATACATTCCAAGTTTCCAAATGGCTAACTTACAGGTTAGCAACTTGAGATCTTAAAATTTTTCATTTATTTGTGAAAAGGTGATTCTTATTTTCTTACCTATAAGTAGTGTACTTAATCATAAAATAGTTATTCCCTCTACATAAAAAGTTAACCAACAGAGGCATTTAAATTTACTTTGACAAAACAGGGGCTATTCTTTAAGTGACTTGCTTCAGTTAATTTTCACATACAAAAATAAATCCTCCCTCATGGGACATTTTATCATACTAATGCTTAGAACTGTTTAAGTGATTAGAAATGTAAAAAGCAAGGAGACTTTTCTGAATACAAACATATACAATACAAACAACATTTGTGAACTGGTAAAAACCCACATGTGCACAAACACAGACTTCAATATTTAAATGCTCTTAATTCCTTTGAAGCTGCATTAACATCGCTCATCCATTCAATGTTATTTTACCATTAGAGGAAGCAACAGTAGTGCATTTAAATATGACTATGAAGATAGGAAGCAAAGTGCAGTATCAGGAACACATTCCATCCTCAGGGAGCAAGCACAATGGCTGCTTCTCAAAAAATTAGCACTGCAGGTCTGATGAACTCGCTACTTAAATGGATACCAGCTATGTTATCACTGATGCAGGGAAATTCGCATCACAAGCTGAAGGGAGGCTAATAGAGGCGCGTTGTCTTTACAGACACTGAAACAGCATGTATTCCTTGTTTCCGTAGAGTAAACAGTGAGCTTCCAAAAGCTCAATTATCACCAAACACTTTAGGATAATGTATGTTAGAGCATCATTTCCTTCCAATAAATTGTTAATTTGCTCTGAAAAGGACAGCTGTTATTTAATTTTTGCCATTACCAACCAATGCCAGTAATCAAAGTCTTTTAAAAAATAAATGGCTTTGCCATTGAACATTTGTCATTTCTTGCAATTGCCAACTTCTCGCCTGTAGCTGTATTAGAAGTTGCACAACATCTGACCAGCTCGGTATTTGGGAGGAAATATAAACATGCTATCACTCACTAACAGAGCACCAAAATGGTTGCGTTGGCTCAGACAGCCATGCATAACCACACCACATTCACTTTATCTTCATCATACACTAAGTAGCCTTTTTTTTTTTAACTTGCTTAAACTGACAATATGCAGAAGTTAGAGAGTTTACTAAAGTTGCACTTATTCCAAGATTTCTGACAGGCGTATACAGCTGTATGAATGAAAAAGTTTTTAAATCGGAGGAAGTGCCAGTACAATGTAATTAAAGTACTGTATATCCTGCATTATCAAGTTTCGTTTCAGTTGTTTTTTGAAATTTATGTATAATTCATGTTTATAGTGCATTTTTGAGTGGAATTGAGTACCTGGGACAGGATTAACTTTGTCACATTTCTAGTTTTGCCTGTTGTAGCCTTTCCAGTAACCTTAGACTAGCATGGTAAGAACCTTGCATGGGCTTAAATTTTAAGACATTTAAGGAATTAAAAATTACAAAGAGTTTTCGAGAACCCACATTTACAGCAGATATTCATCTCAGTGCATTTCCTAATAACTAATTTACAGGTAACAGAGCCAGCCTGGGCAACAGTATGGTAATATTGAAAGCTATTGCCAATCACACGCTTATCATGCACTGAATAAGAAGATATAATCTTTGACATACATACAAGATTTAGTAACTAATCACTTTGTGTGGCCCAGCCAATAAACATTACATTTGAACAGTAATTTCTTCTACTCTTATTAGATTTTAACCTATCAAGAGTGATCCATTGGCTCAGTTGCATTAGTGATTCCTGCATCTTGACTATCCATCTCCTCAAGCTCCTCAACAGAATTTCCCTTTTGTGCTTTAGACCTTGCAGGGAATGTTGTTCCTACAGAATTCACCACATTACCATCAGCTGATTCAGTATTCAAGTGTTCAGTACCACCCGGTGCAGAAAACGATTTGGGTAAGCCGGCCTGAAAGCTCCCAGTTTTAGCAGTTGAACTCACTGCCTCGACTTTTCTTTGAGATAGATCAACTGATGCTGACTGCTCTGTATTCTGATCCCGCAAGTGTCTATCCATTGAAGCCTGAATAGAAGAGACCATTTCCTGCAACTTTTTTCTCTGTGCCTCAATCAAAGTGGGGTCAAGCTGCCTGCTGTCTCTCATTGTCACAACTCCCGGAGCAATTCGGATAAGCTCACTGTTACCAGAAGCAGAAGTGAATACAGAAGGCTCAACTTTAGCAGAAGGACTGAAGTCCGTTTCTGTGCTAGGCTTTCTTAAAAGTGGTGTTTCCTTGACTCTTTGATCATGTTGTTGACTACTAGATGCAGTTCCTAGGGAATGGCCCTTTCCTTGAAATGCAGTTATGTTATGTAGTTGTTCAGATTTCTTTTTCACTACTCCACCACTACCCAGCTTCAGTATTCCGTGTGAAGGACTTGCTTCCCTGCTTCTTGAAGCAGCTTCTGCTCGCACTTGACTTAAGGCCTCTTTAACCAACTCTTCAACATCAGGACCAATGGGGAAGTGCCCAGCAGCATCCACGCACAGCTCTAATCTGTCTTCTGCTGCATTGTACACAAAGTTTTTACCAGGCAGATGTGGAAAAGTACAGTGCTTGCCATCAGCCAAACCTATAAAGATAGAAAAAGTTAAAGTGCTAACCTATTTTAAGGCATGCTCTGAATACACAGCAATTATTGCATTTAAATTTATTGCATCAAGTATATAAAAAGAAACATGCTGAAACTTACTGATGTGGGAGAAAAACAATTTAAGCTTCTATGTCATATGATAGCAATCCCAGTATACTCCTAAGACACTGTTGCCTTCTATGGTGATTCTAATGAAGAGACAGGACTGTAGTATTAACAGCTAAAACAACCACCTTGCTGGAATTTGCAGTTTTAATACAACAGAAGTTAAAGACATAGTATATGCTTTCTGTAATACAAAGCTAGCCAAACTCCATCACTACCACCTCCATCCCCTGCCCCAAAACCACACAAAAACAAACCAACCAACCCAGAAAACTGTCAAAGAGCATATTTCAAAACACTGTCTATCTGGAGAAGTACTATTTAAGACCACTTCCATATTAGTTAGAATTGTAATAGGATTTCAGGGTGTACAACTGCTGCTAGGCTTGAGGAATTTCAAATTTGCTATTTGTCTTCTTCTCAGAGAGGAAGTGTTGCTAGATAAACAAAAGTGTTTCAAGTTTACTATGTTTAGTAGTCCTGGAGATTGTAACTGTGAATCTTTACTAAACAAACATGAGGCTTAATATTTTTGATCTGTTGTTTGTTTGATTGTCCCACTTACAATTTGACTAATCTCCTAAAATTGAGAGTTCAATAGACAAATTTAAGTACTGAAGCTGCTCTGTGTCAAAAATGGACAATATCCAGTTTTCCAGTTTATCATCATAAAATACAAAATAACTCTTTCAACTCTGTCCCATACAGGCTGTGGTAAAAGCAGTAAGGTATCACTCTAGCAATGATGGCTTTCCGTGAGTTAAAAGCTATCTGCAGATGAAAACTTGGCTGCAACAACTCTGTTCACTTCAGTTCTAGTAGTTATGCAAGGAGCACTACAATAAAAAAACCCACTTTTTAAAAAAGTGCTGGGAATAGGTAAATTAACGGGATTTTTCCTCATGTTCTCTTACAATTCTCGAAGAAAAACACCAGAAATTACGCAGAAGGGAAGAAACAGAACAAGCAAATCCTATTTCTGTGTTATCAAACACAATGCAGTGAAAACAAGTATTCTGGGCATCAATGAAAAAGGTCACTCAAATAATCTGAAACATTACTAAACTGTTTTTATACCGATGAACCAACTGACCAATCTCACTCATCCTCCACAGCTTCTGATTCACACACTTTTACAGTTGCAGAGAATCTACAGGTGAGATTTTATTTCAAGAACTTCAGCCATGTAGCTCCTTTCTTTACGTATCCATGGGAACCAATAACCAAACAGCCAAAACGCACACAGAACAAAATTTTACCCCAAACACCTATCCCCCTAAGTTAGTCTGAAGAACATATTTTAACTACATAATTTACCAATCTTCATTTGTGAAAGAGAGCTGTAACAGTGTCTACGACAGACCAAAATTGCAATCCTGAAATAAGATCTTAAACAAGATCTACTAAATCAAACTTCAGTTGATTAACAATACCTACAGTTGATAGAAAGCTCTTCCAAATGTCCAGTGTAGTAGTTGCACTATTACATCTGGGTCGGGGCAATCCCAAGCACAA